AAATGTTTTCGGCTGTGCTGGAAATGATGAGCTGCTCTAAGGGTTCACTTGCCAGCTCTGGTCTTCTCAAGTTGGATGAAGAGAAGCAGTATCACAGGAGGAGAAGGTCCAGTGAGGAGCAAAAGTCAGCCAGGAAGAGAAGAAGAGCCATTCGAAAGGGATTTGCTGACACGATACAGCAAGCAGAGGTAGTCACATACATTGCTGGAGGGTTCTCAGAGTGCCAAAAGTTAGTGTTTTTTGGCCTTCCGACCAAACTTTGGTACACTATATCTCCAGACTGGCTCATCACAGCCCAATAAACCTTATATGTAGATTGATCAGCGGAAAATTTCCCAGATGCTGAATATATTTATAAAGCCATAGTTTTTTGTTTGGCGGATGTTAGCTGCCTCAGTAGTAATAATCTTTTTCGACGGTGACGGGCGTCTTCACAGATGATGTTGACTGGGTGGTGCTATTTGTGTCCTATCTCCAATCTGTTCTATTCAGCATCTGCTACTGTTGTAGACTGTCGCTTGTGATGCATTTTTAACACTTCAGCTGATATTATGTTGCTGCTAGCATGTACCAAAAATCTGAGATGACGGCATTTTTTTACTCTCCAGTGCAGTGAACTTTTGGGACGATGCGAAGTAAATAAGTTCAAGGTAGTACTTTTATTAGGTGGTGGCGTGAATCATGAATCTGTGCTCAAAATTTTGTGGGAAAAGATTCACAGACACCGAAGTAATACCCGATTTTAGTTGTGTGTATTTGCGAATGGCATATTCCAGTACTGCTACCTTAAAGGGGAAGTGCATCGATTTTTTAAGTAGGGCTGAGATGAAAGACAATTGGATATCGGTTCCGATGGTATATCTCTCGCTTGCGCACGGCAAGGGAAACTTGCCATATCGCCGATTTCCTGATCCCGTTTCCATGGCGACTACAGGTGATGACGCACATTCTGCTTAGCTCCGTGAGAGAGAAGGTCGATCACTGAAGAATTGTGTCATTTTCAGTTGTCTTCTTGTATTCACGAAGTGAAAGAAGTACTGTGTTCAAGGCTGTTAGTGCCGTGAACTGTTTATTAGTAGTCCTCTCCGTTGTGTACTGGGACGTGACACCGACAGGGGAAAGCTGGAGTGCGGAGACGTTAGCTGGCAAGCGAAAATCGTGACGAACCAAGTGCTGAAATCTTGGTTGGGACAAATCAAACGATCAGCATTTACCTCAACCAAGGACCATGCCGTTTGCTCTTTCCACTTCCTGAAGATGGATGCGCTGCCTGCTGGAGACTCTCCTATCTCTCGTAACATCTTCTGAAGCCAGGTGAGACGACGAGTAGCGGAGATTAGCGAACGAAATAATGTTGTATGTTTTGAAATTTTTGCTGAACATTTCTCAGAAGAGATGGCGAATACCAAGCATCTTTTCCAAGTCTAGAGAAACCATTTCGTAAGCTACATTCCGCCTAGGGAAATGCAGGAGATGGCCTGGCTGGGGAGGACACACTTGGAGGAGAACGAAGTAAGTGATCTTGTTTATGTTGTTCTTTGGTATTGCAATCTTATGTTTGACGAACATACGTCATGGTGCAGAGTTGGTCGTTGAGTGCCTGCATGTGCATGTATAAGTGTGTGCTGATAAACAATTCCTATGCAAGAATCTGACACTCATGCTCTCTTTCTTTCTTGCAGTATGTGCGCACGTGTGTGTGTGTGTGTGTGTGTGTGTGTGTGTGTGTGTGTGTGTGTGTGTGTGTGTGAGAGAGAGAGAGTGTGTGTGTACAGGAGCAGCGTGGAGCAAGCCAGTGTGATCGCTGTGGCCCGGTTGCTTAGCTGTGGCGTTCTTGCTCGTCACAAGTGTGTGGCTCAGCCCCCAACGACAGTGGAGCCGTGTTGTGGTGAATACTGTGTGTCCTGCGACCGCTGCTTCCGTTCGGTCCAGGGCAGGAATAGACACCGCTGCTGAAGCTCTCCCCGGTCGTACGTCAGTCTCGTGGCAGATGACCCGAACTCTCATTTTGTGTATGTGTGTGTGTGTGTGTGTGTGTGTGTGTGTGTGTGTGTGTGTGTGTGTGTGTGTGTGTGTGTGGTGTATGTATATGTATGTGTGTTGCTCCCTACGTAGACAAACTCTTGTTTTTGTGTCCCGGGCGCCATGGGGCGGCGTTCTCCCATTCTCTCTCCACTGCCCCTCCGGGCCCACGTGGCAGTGACTCGACAGGGCAGGGCAAGTGTGTGCATGGTGCATTTTGTGTGCTGGCATGTCTGTATAAATATGTTGGACAGGAATTTGCTCACCCACAACGTTCACGGAAAACCATGCTAGGTGTTGCTGGAACGTATGGAGTCTGCGAGCACTTACAATAACTTACGTCATGTCACAACAAAGAACGGTGCAGTGTTTGACCCTCATGTAAACATGATGGTGATAGTACCTCACCTAAGCTACCCATGAAGCTAGAAAGAACATCAGGTCAACAGAATTTTACCAGAGGAAAGCATGTATTGCCCGAACTTCTTCATATGAAATGAACAATACTCTTCTCCATAGAGACAACATGCAGATAAGTGTATGGACAAATAATATATAAATAGGCCATTCACTGAGGGCATGGAATGATCTCTACGTGTAGATTGGATAGACACATGCACGTCTGCAAGGAAAGCACTTGTTCATGGGTTAGTTCATGGGCTAATTGAGTTCACATGGACTAAGTTCATACATGCCATCTCTCCTGAGATATGTTCAGCAAAAATTTCAAAAACATACGACATTATTTCGTTCGCTAATCTCCGCTACTCGTCGTCTCACCTGGCTTCAGAAGATGTTACGAGAGATAGGAGAGTCTCCAGCAGACAGCGCATCCATCTTCAAGAAGTGGAAAGAGCAAACGGCATGGTCCTTGGTTGAGGTAAATGCTGATCGTTTGATTTGTCCCAACCAAGATTTCAGCACTTGGTTCGTCACGATTTTCGCTTGCCAGCTAACGTCTCCGCACTCCAGCTTTCCCCTGTCGGTGTCACGTCCCAGTACACAACGGAGAGGACTACTAATACACAGTTCACGGCACTAACAGCCTTGAACACAGTACTTCTTTCACTTCGTGAATACAAGAAGACAACTGAAAATGACACAATTCTTCAGTGATCGACCTTCTCTCTCACGGAGCTAAGCAGAATGCGCGTCATCACCTGTAGTCGCCATGGAAACGGGATCAGGAAATCGGCGATATGGCAAGTTTCCCTTGCCGTACGCAAGCGAGAGATATACCATCGGAACCGATATCCAATTGTCTTTCATCTCAGCCCTACTTAAAAAATCGATGCACTTCCCCTTTAAGCGCTACCACCGTACCTACACTGTTCGCACGCTTCGCGTGCTCAGCACGTGGTGGTGGCTACACGATTCGAACGCTTCGCGTGCTCAGTGCTTCTGTGGCTGCTTCCGCTAGCTACACGATTCGCACGCTTCGCGTGCTCAGTGCTTCTGCGGCCGCTAGCTACACTGTGCTACACTGTTCGCACGCTTCGCGTGCTCAGGGCAGCGCTGCTCCGCAGCGCTTCAGCGTGACACAAAAACACACGTCACAGGTGCCTCTTCTTTATAAGGAGCGTGACACACACACACACACACAGACACACGTCACAGGTGCCTCTCTTTTATAAGTAAAGATATAATAGATAATGGAGATGACTGCAACAGGCTGCAGCAGCTCGCCCAGGATCGCCCTCAGTGGCAGGACCTGGTGAAGGTTGTATGTAGCCGCTAATGCAACAATGGACATAACTTTGCGTTTCCATCTTGTCTTTTTTTGCGATTGTGATGCTTGATGTGCACTGTGCTTCCTCGCATTCACTTGCTCCTTCTTGCAGCTTGTCTCTTTTTTCTGTTTTTTGTTTTGTTTTGTTTTGACGCTCTGTGGGCATTGCGCTTCCTCGCGCTCACTTGCTCCTTCTTGCGGCTTAAGCGAAGGCTATATGTGAGCTTTATAAGCTCACTGATGCTAACGCGAACAGAGCATAATAATAATAATAATAATCAACGCAATAAATAGAGTAAGCTGCGCACTCAGTTCAAACACCATAAGCAAAACTTGTTTTCATGTATAATAAATAAGCTTGTTCCTAAACGTTTTTACGTTTTTTTTTTAATAATAATAATAATAAAAGGGTTTGCTCCCCACACCGGAGCTTATAAAGCTCACATATAGCCTTCGCTTAAGCCGCAAGAAGGAGCAAGTGAGCGCGAGGAAGCGCAATGCCCACAGAGCGTCAAAACAAAACAAAACAAAACAAAAAACAGAAAAAGAGACAAGCTGCAAGAAGGAGCAAGTGAATGCGAGGAAGCACAGTGCACATTAAGCATCACAATCGCAAAAAAAGACAGGGGAGCAAACCCTTTTCTTACAAATCATCGCCGAGGTCGCAACCACTACTTAATAATAATAATAATAATAATAATAATAATAATAATAATAATAATATAACTAGCGAATAGCATTATTATGTTTTATGGTTTATCGTCTGATGAGGTTTATGAACACGAAACTAGGAGTAACGAGGAAGATTTTTGGTCTCTGTTGTTCTGCCTTGTGAGCACTAATACACACGAAACCCAAGTCGCCTGATGATTGCATTGTGCAAGCCACTAAAGTTGCGACAAATCTGTAAACAAAATCTGTGTGCCTTTTGTGCGTAACAGTTACTTCATGTACATGTAGGTACGTTGCATTCCTTTGTCCGCTCAGTCAGAATGAGAGCGGCCACAGAATCAGGGTCATGCACAAAACAGACTATACAACCTGTCGATTTCCTTCTTGGTCCGGACCACGTGTTTCAGGCTTGACCTACCCTAGCGCACCTTTCTTGACAATCCTCCTTGTCAGATCTCCAGCGATGTGACACATACGATTGTAGTCCCGCATACCGGCTTACAACTAACTACTTGTCGTTTTCATTCAAACTGTTGAGTACAAATAGGTGGAAAGACCACTGAGTGATTGAGATGAGGATTGGTGCAGAACTTAGTGGAAAATTTGAAATTACTTGGGTGAGCTACAACACCGCAAAGTCATGATCTGGTTCACTGCAGCGGCCATCGTTGCCTTCGCCGTGTGCGCGCGAGGCGATGCCCCTGGCTCGTGCCTGGGCGAGTATCAACATTGCAGCGACAAGGGCGACTGCGTGCTGGACTCGAGCCTGTGCGGAACCTGCTCGCAAGGGCAGTATTTGTGTCCCGACACGAAGACGTGCGTGAACGACGTCGAATCGTACACCACGTGTCCTGGCCTGAAGGGAGGCTTCTTCGACTGGGCGCTGAGTCTGGACGAGAGGGTATCAGCGCTGGACAAGCAGGCGACTCTCGAGGAGAAAATCGCTCAGCTGACAAACGATGCACCGGCAATCGTTCGACTGGGTGAGTAAAACCAGGAATGATTCGGCCACTGAAATGTTTCTAAGAACATGAAAAACACAAAATTGATACTGTTTTCACAGCGGAATGCTGTTTCAGGATAATTACATTTTTAGGAAAATCAGTTCAGCTTCTGTCTTGCAGGAATCTAACGGAGCTTGAATTCTCAATCCATTTCGGTAGCTTTCTCATAATAATTATTACAGTCAAACCTGTGACTAACGACCACCCCTTTGGGGCCAGAGATAGCGGTCTTTAGTGGCAGGTGGTCCTTAGTTAGAGGTTTGCACCCCACAAGCATACATGAATGTGAGACCGTCTGTGCCTGGCAAAGTGGTCTGTAGTACCAGGCTGGTCGCTAGTCACGGTGGTCTTTAGTTACAGGTTTTACTGCAGTTGTTTGCATAACGGTGTTCTGCAGACCCCTGTGGTTCTGCCTGCAGCAAGACATCCTCACTTAGACATCAGGGGGGTCACCGTGGTTATCAAACACTAGGGCTGAGTCGGGCAGCATTTTCTTCGGGTGTCGGGTTGGGGTAGTTTTTCAGGGGTAGCACGGGTACCCGATCGGGTAATGGTTCCATGGTAACACCACAATGCACCCCTTCTCTTACACACTGGGTAGACATGCGGAGTGCCGGTAATACATGAATTTGTACACGTGCACTGTACATGATGTCATCTGCGACTTCGGGTTTTCGGCTACTATTCTGTACCCGTCTACCCGAGGTCCTCAAGGGTAGCACGGGTAGCCGGCTACCCGTGCACACAAGTATCGAATACCTACAGGTTGACTGAAGTCATGATGAAAAAGAATGGACAGCATTTTGGTCAGCCTCAGGTGGCCGGTACTCTGAACTCCGACCTAGACAAGCTCTGGGCGTTCAAAGATTCAGTCGACTCCTGATATAACAAACTTTCAAAGATACAGTCGACTCCTGATATCACAAACACGACTGTGCAGGAGAATTGGTTCTTTCTAGCCGAAGTTTGTTATAACAGAGATGTGCTCACACCATTCACAAGCTGGCATGTGGCCCATGGCTGTAGGAGTGCACTTGGTTATCAATTATCATTCCGCCCAACAAGGAAGGGTTCAAAGAGAGACATGGACAATGGTTCACTAAGGTTTACTATAATTATCACAAAATTTGCTATATGCGAGTTCGTAATAAGTGGTGTCGACTGTACTTACTATCCGTGCCTAGGAATCCCATCATATAACTGGCTGAATGATGACGAGCACGGAGTACACGAGGCGCACGCCACCTCGTTCCCGAACGGCTGCGCCTTGGGAGCCATGTGGGACAAGCAGACCATGCTGAAGGTGGGAGCGGCCGTCGGACTGGAGGCTAGGGTGGGACACAATGGATATGTGCACACAGGTGAGGATGAAAACCCAAGGCAGAGTGCTGATGGTTGATTTGCCATGCCCCCAATTGAAACCGAGCATGCCTTTCTGCCATTGCACCTTCTGATCGTGGGAATCAAAAATTAACCTCTTTGCTTGTTTTTACACAAGCCATTGGGTTTCTTTCTTCATTCATGCATGTCCTGCTTAGCATTCTCTCCCCCCCCCCCCCCTTCCTCTCTCTCCCTTCCTCTTAAATTTTTCCGGATCTTCGTGCATCTACCTCACTGGAAGCCGATACCTCAGGTCGGCTGAGTGTTCAAGGTCTCACCACCCTTGTGCTGCCCAGATTGGAGCCCAAGGCCACTCGAAGAAGAAAGTGTGAAAACAAAAATTGTTCTCAATACGCCTGTTTTGATGTTCTTCTATTTCCTAGGCGACCGTGGTCATGGTGAAAATGGCGCTGGCATCACACTGTATGCGCCCAACATGAACCTTGTCAGAGATCCGAGATGGGGACGTGCGCAAGAGGTAACATTTCAGCTCCTAGTGTGTGTTCTGGTATTGATACTGTGAAACATGTATTTTTCGGTGTAACTTTAATTTCGGTGATTTCGGTAGTGAAAACCAGGCACCTAAATTTAAATTACACCTTAAAGGCACCAGAGTATGCACTGTATGTGCAGGGAACGCTGGTCACCTGATTCTAAATTACACCTGAAACCTGGCAGGTCCTTTCACCGAAATGTTAATGCATCTAAAATCACATGTTTTACATTCTTATACTGTTGAACTCCTTTAGAAGTCTTGATCCTGTCTTTCCTGGTCAGAGCATGTTTCACAGGCTGGTTCCATTGTACAGGCTAGCAAGTCAGGCTCTCAGGCTCACACGCAGAAGTAAAAATCCTGACGCTCCCAAGCAACACTTAAGCTAATTCTGCTACGTTTTGTTTCCCAATCATGATCTTAGGCCAGTCTAACCTCCACCAACGTCTAGGTGCTGCAATTGACGCCAGATTATGGGGTAGTGGCGTTCCTTGAAGGAAGAGAAGTAGCTCTTAAGATACATGTACCACAAGGTCCAGGTAGTTCGGTGCCACTGAAATGAAGAAAGTGGTGGTTGTGTGTGTGTGTGTGTGTGTGTGTGTGTGTGTGTGTGTGTGTGTGTGTGTGTGTGTGTGTGTGTGTGTGTGTGTGTGTGTGTGTGTGTGCATGTGTGTGTCTGTGTGTCTGTGGGTTCATATGTGTTTTTACGTGTGTGTGTGTGTGTGTGTGCGTGCGCGCGAGTTCCAATGTATACGAGTGTACATATGTGTGTTTGCGGGCACACGCATTTTGGGGTGTTTGTGCGTGCTTGTTTGTTTGCTTGCATATGCACACACACACACACACACACATGCAGGTGTATTCCGAGGACCCGGTTCTCAGCGCCTTCCTGACCTACATGTTTGTGCACGGAGCACAGGTCGGTAACGAGACTTCTCCCAAGTACATGCAGTCCGCAGCATGCTGCAAGCATTATGCCGCCTACGACGTTGAAACGATTCCAACGGATCGCTACGAGTTCTCCGCAACAGTAAGATTTGAGTACTATACACTATACACAGTACAGTCAACTTGGCTTATAATGACAATCGGCGGGGCATCAAAAAGGTGTCCTTATTCGCGAAGTGTCGTTATACCCGAAGTCTCATTACATGTATTACCCTGGGATGTGACTTTGCTCTGGGCATGGAAATTCTGTCGTTATTCACGAATTGTCGTTATATCCGCAGTCGTTATTAGCCAAGCTGACTATAGTACTTTCTTTTTTTCACGGTTCGCGTCAGACTCGGTTGCTCTATATAGAGGCCGAGTTTTCCGCATCCGTAGGAACGCCACCACCCTTCAAGGATCAAGGCGCAGATGCAGCTCCTAAAGCGGTGGGAGGCGAGTAGATCAGCTCACCAGCATGTGGTCAAAGACCGAAAATCCCATTCACTGCATCCATGTTTTCCTCGTGCCAGGCCACGTGTTCCCAATTAACTGTGGGTCGCAGCACGGCTGGAAAAAAATCCTTCCGCTTCCAAGCAGGACTTGAACCTGGTACCCCGAGGCTCTGTTTCTCAATCATGGTCTTAGACCAACCCACTATGCCTGCCTGATACAGTACTTTAAAGCAGGAAAAAACAGTTCAGTGAAGATTTTACTGTAGGGAACATGGAAATCCAGTCGATTGACCGGGGCCGGCGCCCTCAGCACGTACAGAACGCTGCGTGCAGTGCACATAACAATCGTGTAACTATTACCTTGTTGATCCGATGCGACCAGCGGGCTGCAGTGCATAGATGCATGTGTGTGTACCGTTTATCCATGGCTGCGTGGCCAGCACCCTGGGGCCGCTAGACGTACGACCGGATTTCCATGTCCACGGCAGTAGATCCTGGTCTCACTGTGGCAGACACGGTAGTGACAAGAAGTTATCAGGCCAGAAAATCAGGCACATGTGACCAAATTTGTGTGCAGTGTAACTTAGCATGAAATGTCATCGCCCAGAGTAAAAAAATGTCTGTAACTTTAAAGTTTCCCGAATCCGTCCCCATTTGCAAAACTCGTAAAGGTACAGCTAGCATTTCCCATGATGATGACGATGCTCTGCGTCTCGGATACTGAGAAACAGAGTGAAAGGGGGGATGTGCGTATGTGCGTTTTCACGTGTGAGCGGATGTGCACATGTGTGCGTGTGTATGTGTGTGTGTGTGTATGCTTGTGTGTGTTTGTGTGTGTGTATGCGCGTGTGTGTCTGTGTGTGTGTGTGCGTGTGTGTGTCTGTGTGTGTGTGTGTGTGTGTGTGTGTGTGTGTGTGTGTGCGTGTGTGTGTGCATGATTGTTCGCCCAGGTGGATTCCCGCAACATGTGGGAGACGTACATGCCCGTGTTCCTGGCCTGCGTCAAGTACGCCCAGGGAGCACACGTGATGTGCAGCTACAACGCCATCAACGGCATACCGACCTGTGCCAACCCCGACCTGCTCAACGGCATCCTGCGCAAGCAGTGGGACTGGCCGGGCTTCGTCGTCAGCGACTACGACGCATGGCAGCAGATCTACACGTCCCATCACTACTGTCCAAACATCACGTGTGCCGCGGCGGCAGGACTCAATGCCGGAATGGACCAGGAAGGCGGTGGTACTTCGGCCATCAACCACCTGAAGGACGCCATCGGGAACAAGACCACAACAGAGGAGGCCGTCTCCACCGCCTTCAAGCGTCTCTTTCGCGTCCGACTGCAGCTGGGGATGCACGATCCGCCGAAAATGGTCGAATGGAACATGCTCACCAATGACTCCATTGTCGAGGGACCCGCCGACATTTCCCTCGCTCGTCAGGCGGCCCACAAGGGAATGACCCTGTACAAGAACAAGAACAACGTCCTGCCCCTTTCCAAGAACATCAAGAAGCTGGCGTTGATCGGTCCCAGTGCGACGGACGGTAATGTGCTGCTGGGAAACTACGCTGTGCCTCCCGATCACGGCATACCAACTATCCAGGACGGTATCTACCAGTCCCTCGGTATAGACCCGGTTACGTTCAAAGGCAACTGCAGTGCGTTCGAGCAGGACATTGACTACTTCATTCCCGGCGAGCCGGGAACCGACTCACCAAACCCACAGAACTGCTGCAACCAGTGCGCCATTGACATTGCGTGCAACTACTTCACCTGGTCCGAGAACGAGTGCTTCAAAAAGAAGACGAACAAGGGCCGCCAGAGCAGCAAGGGGCGCGTGTCGGCTAAGTGCCTCAGCCACGCGCGCGTGTCCGTATCGACCTCGCTCGGCTGCTTCGACACCGCCTGCTCTGACAACACGCAGTTCGACTTTGCGGTGCAGGCAGCCAACAACTCCGACGCCATCGTCGTCGTCCTGGGTCTGAGCGGCAAGGAAGAGGGAGAGGGACACGACCGCAACCTGATCGAGCTCCCCGGCAACCAGCCGGGCCTGGTGTCGCAGCTCAGAGTGGCCTACGAGAAAACACCCATCATTGTCGTTCTCGTTCACGGCGGCACGCTTGCGCTGGGCTCCGTGCTGGACGATGCAGATGCAATCCTCGATGCCTGGTATCCTGGAATGGAGGTAAGCTTCACAGGATACTCATACCGTATTTCCCCGAACATAAGTCGCACGTTTTTACACAAAAAATCAAGGGTAAAAATAGGGGGTGCGACTTACAATCGGGCATGACTTACTACTGAAAAATATTTTTTAAAGTAACCGTTCGCGTGAGACTCGGCCAAACGCCCAGGTTTCCGCATCCGCAGGAACGCCACCACCCTCTTGGATCAAGGCGCACATGCAGCTCCTAAACAGTGGGAGGTGAGTACATGTACTACTGAAGTCAATTATCAAAAACAATAACTATAGCCGAAACCTGAAAATAGGGGTGCGACTTATGATCAAGTGTGACTTTTAATCGGGGAAAAACAGCACTTCGTTTATTTTATTTATTTATTTCTGCACCTCGTAGCATGTGAAGACAGCCAATTGAATTGAGAAGACAGTGAGACCAACCCCAATATCCGGGCATTCCGGGATCGAGCACAGTATGTAACGTTGAAATGTCCCTAACTCCGAACTACATGTCCCTAACCCTGAATCACATGTCCGTAACCCCGAATAGCATTCATCTTGTAATAGTTGAGCAGTCTCCTGTGGGGTAGTGCATTTGCTGCTTGCTGGCTCTCTAGTCCCAGGGCTCTAGTACCAGGGCTCTTGTTCCAGGGCTCTTGTTCCAGGGCTCTTGTACCAGGGCTCTTGTTCCAGGGCTGTAGTCCCAGGATTATATTAGTTGCAGGGCTGTAGTCTCAGGGCTCTAGTTCCAGGTCTGTGGTCCCAGGGCTGTAGTAACAGGGCTATAGTTCCAGGGCTGTAGTCCCAGGGCTGTAGTCCAAGGGCTGCTGTTCCAGGGCTGTAGTTCCAGGTCTGTAGTCCCAGGGCTGTAGTTCCAGGGCTGTAGTCCCAGGGCTCTAGTTCCAGGGCCTTAGTCCCAGGTCTTTAGTCCCAGGGCTGTAGTCCCAGGGCTCTAGTACAGGCTCCATTATTCACCCCAGTGTCTGGAGATAATGTGGATTTTGTAGAGAAAAAAAAACAGGGTCCCCACACCACAGATGCGCCCATTGTACAAGCTAAACCTGGATACAAATCTATGTCCTTCCTTGGTGCTGACCGCTTTAATGCGCTTCCCGAATCCCTTCGCACAAATCATATCCCCAATTCATAACGCCAGGAACTTTAAAAATTCGATCATCTTGGGCACACTTTCAGAAGACCTTAGGGTTTGTTGGTAATGCCCAAGGAAAATAATAAAAATTAATACAATACAATACAATTTGCGTGCTGCGTCCCTGCTGTGTACCAATGCTTGGGATCTCTTCTTCCCCTGTATACAACAGGGTGGCTTAGCAGTTGGAGATGTCCTGTTTGGCGACTTTAACCCGGCCGGCCGTGCATCCGTTACGTCATACTTGAGCACTGAATCACTTCCAGAGCAAGGCAACACTAACCTCTACCCATCTGGCGAGTCACCAGGTAAGACGCATCGATTCTCCCAAAATGATCTTAACAAAGCATTCGAAACCCTGCATGTGATCTACATGTGTAGTTCAGTAGATTATCACTATTTGGCCACAGGCCATCTTCAGAATGGATCTTGTTCCAATGGGTTGACACCTCAATCGATGATGCTGATGTGTTCTTCTCAGTAAATGGATGGATTTCTTTCATGAAAAGGATTTTTTTTAATCACGGTTCGCATCAGCCTCGCGAGTTTCGAGCAACCCTAGGAACGCCACCACGACCCTTCAAGGATCAAGGCGCAGATGCAGCTCCTAAACCGGTGGGAGGTGAGTAGATCAGACCCACCAAAATGGTCAAAGACCGAAAATACCATTCATTGCATCCATGCTTCCCTCGTGCCAGGCCACGAGTTCCCAATTAACTGTGGATCGCAGAACGGCTGGAAAAAAAATCTCTCTGCTTCCAAGTAGGACTTGAACCTGGTACCCTCTGTTTCTCAATCATGGTCTTAGACCATCCCACTATGCCCGCCTTCCTGAAAAGAATGGATAACTGATAAAAAAGTGGGGATAGTTCAACCCAGTGTTGGATTATTTGGCTATTAATTAATCTACGGAATCATACCCCACGGCCTACTTTGAAGGAAGTACACCTCACCCATCTTCTCTACTAGCAAGGCAGCAATTTGTTTAAACTGGCCTGAAGCACATGTGCTCTAGCCGTCCGCACGACATACGTACGCATTACAATACAGATGAGAGAGATGCTAAACGGAGAGAGACAATACGGAGAGAGACAATACGGAGAGAGACAATACGGAGAGAGACACTGACAGTGATATGACAAGCACAATACACAACAGTCCACATCATGCAACATCAGTAGTAGTGTAGCGTACATGGTGGCCTCTTCTTGGTATTCTTATGGCGTGTGAGGGTTTATTCAATGGAGGAGAAGCAGTTTTTAAGGCACTCATCGGGTGACCAAATATGGTGCTCTGTATGGCCACCCTGAGATTGGCATGGCTTCCAAAAATCGCAGTTGGCATGTGACTCGGCTGGAGGTCGAGTTCTCCACATCCATAGGACCACCACCGCCCTCTATGAATTAGGGCAGCTCCTTGAGCGGTGGGAAGTGAGCAGTTAGGCATTTGCTTCCAACATGCGTGAATAACCAAACATGCCATTACCCCTCTAGCTTACGACTTCTGAAGCCTCAGCGTGTATTTCTCAGGGAATCTAAACACGACTCCGCACCGACTTAACAAAGGAGAAAACCAGGAGAGGGACGCAAGAGCCCAGAAGAAGGTCAATCACTCACTCTACCATAGCGGGCATGCACTCAAAGCCCGATCTGGGTTTCGTTGAATAATGCACTGGCCCTCTGGTTGAAAAAGGAAAGCCCGATCTGGGTTTCGTTGAATAATGCACTGGCCCTCTGGTTGAAAAAGCAAGAAAAATCAATACAGAGGGCTCACATGTTTCTCTTCTGTTTGTTCTTTTCCAAATGCCAGGCATCACATATCGATACTACACAGAGAAAGTCCAGTTCCCGTTTGGCTTCGGGTTGTCGTACACGACGTTCAAGTACAGTGACTTGAAACTGTCATCGCAATCTGTCAAGGTAAGCCTATGCACTGCAGGGAGTTTGGAGTGGCCTGTTTATGAATAATTATACTGAAGTAGCTTTTTTATACCTCTCTCTCTACCTCTATCTATCTATCAATCAATCTATCTATCTATCTCTCTCTCTCTCTCTCTCTCTCTCTCTCTCTCACACACACACACACACACACACACACACACACTCTCTCTCTCTCTCTCTCTCTCTCTCTCTCTCTCTCTCTTTCTCTTTATTCCACCATTCCGAGTTCTCAAGGCTGGGCAGGGTTCTGAGCATGCTTTCATTTCATCTTTTCTTATTATTTCTGCTTTTCATCTCATTACAAAAAAGTCTTCTCATGTATTTCCATCTGCGCATAAATCTAGACTGACAACCTGCTTGTGAAATCATGCACCTGCTTTCAGGCATAAAAACCCTGTTGCAGAGGTCTCAGTCCTCATTTGTTAAATTTAACTGTCTTTATAAAATGTAACTTAATCTCTCTGCCTTGCCCTCTCTCTCTCTCTCTCTCTCTCTCTCTCTCTCTCTCTCTCTCTTCTCTCTCTCTCTCTCTCTCTCTCTCTCTCTCTCTCTCTCTCTCTCTCTCTCTCTCTCCTTCACTACCTCTATCTCCTTCTCTTTCACCATCTCTCTGCCAATGACTTTCTTTCATTCCATCTATCTATCTATCTCTGTCTCCCTTATCAGCAATGATTAGTGGCCAGGGTTAAACGGGTGCATCTGGCATGCAAACACACACACACACACACACACACACACACACACACACACACACACACACACACACACACACACACACACAGTGACCTGCACATATAAATGCATACCGGGCATGCAGGATGAAACCGTTTCGAAGATCCACGTGCAAAATTGATGTTTGCATTCTTCCACCTAATCTATGCATGTGCAGGCATGTGATACGGTAACCGTGACAGTGACTGTGACAAACACAGGTGACAAGGATGGTGATGAAGTGGTTCAAGTCTATCTCAAGCATGTCAAGGCATCTGTGCCAGTGCCGAAGGTTAGGGATTTCATTATTCTTTTATTCCACGATGGCGTGACGCCAATAAGGATGATTAACCCTTTAAGAGCCGCCCCATACTTGAATGCGTCGTAAACGACGCATTCAAATGCAAAACTTCAAAAGATCGTAACTCAGTCCAATCTCGCTCAAATCCAGTGATCGAAATATCCAGGGCGAAGAGAAAACTCTCACCTGTCGGGAGAAACAATCCGCGAAGCGCTGCGAGCTACGGTTCCTGAGATAAATCACTCGTAAGTTGAGCCGCGATCGCGGCAATTTCAAAAGCGCGCAGTGCGACTTTAGTATTGAGAATTTTGAGACTTTTCGTCACTCTGGTTTACTCGAATTTGCACGGGTTTCACTGTTGATATTGTCAAGAGTACACAGCGAAAAATTGGAACTCCACGATTGAGCAAAATGAAATATCTGGAGCGGGACGCAATTGGACGCATTTGGGGCATTTTTCATACTGTCGCTGCGATCTAGCGCTGGATAGACGGTGTGCTGGCGATCATGATCGACCTCATTCTCTTCCTCTCGCGGAGACCTTTCCAGGAAGCCCTAGATTGTGAGGATTGAGTGAGTAGAACTGAAGCTATGATCCAAGGAACACGAAAAAATGCAGAATTTTGAAATTTTCCTGTGGCTCTTAAAGGGTTAATAAGTGCGATAGAACTGGTACTAGCCAGAAACAGCTAGATGGAAATTAACCGGGAGGCAAGAAGCAATGGATCTTGAAAAACAAGCGGGGGCAATAACGTTAGCAGGGGTGATCGAGATAGTTAAGTACACGTTCGAGATATCAGAAACCAGGGGGATGCGCGGAGCAGGAGCAGGTACTGCTCAAAAGAAGACTGGATGCATTGTTTCGGAAAGAATTTCTACGAGGTTGGGTTGTGATGTCGATAGGGAGTGAGTTGTAGAGGGTGAGGGCACTGTTGATGGGGGAATCTCGGTGCCTGTTCGTGTGTGCGTGTCCGATGGAGTAGGTCCTTGTCTGTCGAAGGGTGTATGGTTGGTGTTGACGTTGTGGTGCAAGATGTGGTTGTTGCAGGTGTGGTGGGGAGGTTTGGTGGTGAATGTCCCATGCTAGTAGGGCTTGTTTAACAAGGAGTCGTGAGCTAAGGGTGGGGCGAAGCCGAGCAAGAGAAATAGGCGTTGTGTGTGTGAGGGGGGGGGTGATGCATGGTGTGTGTGTGTGTGTGTGTGTGTTTGTTACATGGTGTGTGTATGTGTGTTTGTGTGGGGGGTGGGGGGGGATGGGTGGGCGTGTGTGTTACATGGTGTGTGTGTGTGTGTGTGTTACATGGTGTGTGTGTGTGTGTCCAACCTGTTGGAAGGCTACCTTCCTGCCAAAGCAGTTGGGAGTTGGATTAGTTTCGGTTCCACAATCCAGAGTGTCGTTACTATAATAGCTTTCATGGCTGAGGTTGTTGGTATGTCTGTTGGCTCTGGGCTCTCAGTACTCAGTAGCCGAGGCTGGTTGTTAAAGTAACACCAATATCACTTCAAGGTAGCAGTGCATCTAGTGTCTGCATATATCAAAGCAGCGTGCTGTCTATACTGGTTATCCCAGCAAGTGTAGGGTGTGCATAGGTAGCTTGGCCATTTTATGCCGATGTACTTATTCTGTGTGGTGTTGACCAGGTGTGCATTGGTGGTCGATTCACATGGCTTCGCCAGTTGTGTGGATTAAACAGTTATCTAGGGCAAGTCTTGATCTGTCTCATTCAGATCTTGCTCGCTATCGTTGCTATAAGAGAAAATCTATGGGTGCACATCCAGTGCATTTGCAGATTTGCGTGCTTCTCTTGCAACAGGCATATACATGGTACATGGTGTGTGTGTGTGTGTGTGTGTGTGTGTGTGTGTGTGTGTGTGTATACGCGTGCGTGCATGCGTGCATGTGTACCATACACATGCATGCATGACTACACACACCCCTGCCTACACACACCCCTGCCTACAAGTCTATACTGTACATACGCCTGAAGCAAACGTTCTATTACCGAAGCTCTGAATGACTTTGTATTCCTTCGATGCCTAAGACATCTCTACATGTACATTGTGAATCTGTTCTTCTGCCATGTCTTCAAACCACCGGTTGACATCTGCACAGGTGCGGCTGGCGGACTTTGCCAGAGTGACCATCGCCAAGGGCCAGAGCACTCGACTGGAGCTGATGATCCTGCCGCGAACGCACTGCGTGGTTCCGGATAACAGCGATATCTACACGGATAGGAGTACGGTGGAGAGCGGCGAGATCAGTGTCTACGTCGGCGGAGGCCAGCCGGACTTCTACACTGGCGGCCTGTCGTCTTCGTTCCACGTGACCACGTCCGCGCTGGCGGCCACATGCCCAGATCCAGAATTGCTCTAGCGATCCGCCTTGCTCTGCATGCCTCCTGTGTATTATTGTAAAGTCCTGCTCAATGAAATCCAACCAGTTCACTCCGGTTTGCACCTACCAATTCGCGGGCCACTTTCCGCAGGTCTAGGGCTGCGCAACGCCCGGCGCGCACTTGAGTGACGCGACTGGATTTCACTGAGTAGTACTGTGCATGTGGGGAGCATTTGTTCCACATTGCTATGTCAGAGTTAGCGCAGCTACCTGCCCCGATCCAGAATTACTTTAGTGATCTGCTTTAGTGATCTGCATTTTTGACTTTCTATGTTCTAACAACATTGAGATGCCTTTTGTAGGCTTTTCTGCCTGGATTTCATCGACTGAAAACACGTGTATCTTGGAAAGTAATAATGATAATAGTTACAGTTCGCATGTCACTCATGGACGGATGCTTGCCTCCCCTTCCTCATCATTGCTTTGATGATGGCCAATGAGCGAAATGGTGGCAGAAATGTATTCTTGTCGTGCAGCTGAGAGCCTGTTCCGGGATGGAGGTGTTCATAAATGTTTTCAACGACTCCCAAATGCAGACAGATTTTCGTATCGAGATTCTACATTCGTTTCAAATGAATTTATGAATGCAAAAGTAGAACGCAGTAGAAATTAGGACAAGAAAAACTTCTGTAGGGCAGCTTTCTAAAAAAAAGGTTATCATAGTCTAATCTTGGGTTTTTCGGCTAACAACCTGTTCTACATCAGTTCTGTATTCGCTCCGGCCTCGGTCCAAAAGTAAGAAATTAGCAAAGTCTACCAGCTCCAATTTCAAATTTTACACTAACCTCGTACTAAAAACACTCCCACTGGACAAACCCCTTCGAGCACCCCACTCCCTTCCTTCCTCTATCCATTGGCATGCGTTGTTGGCACAAAGAGCATCATAAGAGGGGTCATACTAAACAGCCACGGTGTATCCACTTGTCCCTGGGATTGAAACAAACAGATCGTTCCATTTCGTTGTACATGTACTTATTTTGAGGTTCAGCGTAAAATTCGAAATTGCAGCTGGTACATTTTGCCAAACCCTTATTTTTGGACAGGGCCCGGAACGAAGACAGATCTAAAATGGCTGCGAGCTGATTTCCAGTATGGTACCGTTACTAGTGCCGTGCCGTGAGTACCCATGGTGATTTGCTGACGTGTCCATCATTTACATATTGATATAGGGCATTCCATTGATTGGTGACAGAAAAAAAACAAAAGAAATGATAGCAATAAAAACTGCTTTATGGCAGTTTTCTAAAAAAAGTTAGTGTGTTCTAGTCCATGGACCCCGTCTAAAAAGTAAGAAATTAACGAAATGTGATAGCTGAAAATTAAAATTTCACACAAAACCTCACAATAATCACAACACTTTAAATGCTGCTTTCAACACTAAACTTGTACTGCACCAACAATTGGCAACATGCATGCATAGGAAAGAGGATCGCGAGGGGAAAAGGTCTTCTACGAGGTGAATTGCTATTTCTGGACATTGTACATTTCTGGACATTTCGAGTAAAATAATTTTTCGTCGCGTGTAGAGTCAAGTCAGTCAGGTTGATGAAGTTTTTTCTTGCCGTAGTTGACAGCTGGGCTGTTGTAGTTTCTCCTCGTATCGGTGCCTTGTTGATAGCCTTTGCTTGTGAGGCATTTCAACGAGTTGTGTGGTACTATGTCGCATGAGAATTTTGAGTAAAATAAGAAGTAATGGACGAATCGTTGGCTTCCCCATGTGCACTCCACTTCAGACGCTGTATAGTCTTGGACCTGTTGGCTGGAAGTGTGAAGAGGCCAACTGCAGTCCACCAATAGAAAAATAACAAAAATGGTGCAGTATAGGATGCCTTTTGACGCTATTTTACTTTCATGTCCAGAATTCCATACACTGAAATTTAGGCCCAAAAATTGGCCTGTCGAAAACGTCCTGTTATAAAGTCTCTGGGATCACAGCATGAGCAATTGTCACATATTTGGAAAGATGAAGGATTACGCCATACAATAGATACAAAAAGATATGAAAAATGTAAAACACACAGTCAGTGGGGCTCTATTAATTTTTATTTTCATGTCCAGAAATTGGTATTTCACCTCGTACATGTAGCTTTTCATTCTGTGTGTGATTATTGTGAGGTTTTGTGTGAAATTTTAATTTTCAGCTATCACATTTCGTTAATTTCTTACTTTTTAGACGGGGTCCATGGACTAGAACACAATAACTTTTTTTAGAAAACTGCCATAAAGCAGTTTTTATTGCTATAATGTGCAATGCAGTGCTATTCAAACCTAGTACCTGGCGCGAGATACGCACAGAAGTACATGTACGTTTGTATGATTCTCGCCCCGGGTTGATTTTTTTCCGTAGATTTTTTTATTTTATATCCACAACTCTTTATTGCACTCAGAAAAATAATAATGCACCCATTTTGATAGTCCAGGGGATGGCCCACGCCTGGTAAAAAGAATAAACAGAATAAAAAATAATAATAATAATAAATAGGCGTCGAGGCGACAATAGTTTTCATAGATGTTGTTTCTTCTCACTCCATTTCTCTTTATTAGTATCTTTCTGGATTGTTTTTCATTAGTACAACGTAGCTTCCTGAGGAGTGTTGTGCGAAAACTAGTTCGAAGTACAAATTTTTGTTCATCATTTCTTCCATATCACATTTTTTCTTTCTTCCATGTTCTTCACTGCCTTCGTATCTACTCGTTTTTTTGAATACAATAAAAGCCTTTGTGAAAATGTCGGTTCAGCTCGTTCTGTTGATCGCAATTCTAAAATAATAATAATAATAATAATTCAAAGGATCCGTCGGGGAAGTGAACTGCCTGAAAAGAGAAAAAAAAACGCCAGACCCACCAGGACTCGAACCTGGGACCCTGCTTGTCATGAGCAATGCTCTAACCACTGAGCTTTGAATTTGAAGTTCTCCCAATCCTTTCCAAATAATAATAATAATAATAATAATTCCGCCTGTGTGGATTCACAGGAAGTGTGAGTTACGAAGTCTGAAGAAAATGTTGAACGGCCTCTGCTGGGATGACGACTACACCATAGCTCAGTGGTTAGAGCATCGCTGGCTACAAGCGATGGTCCCTGGTTCGAGTCCTGGTGGTGACAGTCAATTTTTTCTTCAGACTTTTCCCGTTTGTCTCTTTCCCTCAAACCAGTTAAAATAATAATTTCGTAATACGTATTCGCATGCAACGACGCAAATCCACACAATTCAGTAGACACTTTTTCTATCAAACGTTTTCTTTCCCTTCTCTTCAGGATAGTACAGGGAATGTTGGAAATTAGAAAAACACATAACTATATAGAGAATGAAAGAAAGACAGACATCGTCCATCAAGCGTCATTTGTCGGGCAGTGCTAGTTGTCGTAAGTTGTATAGTGATGATATCTTTTCGATTTTGACTCGTGGAAGGTCTAAATTACATCTTGCTGTGTTAGAAGCTCTGTATATTCGTAAACTAGATCCAGAACTATGTGTACAGAAGGAGAATGTGTTATCGTTGCAGTTGTTTGGTGTCACACCTCGTGAAAGTGTGACAAGTGTTCCCTGATGTGTTCAACGTGTTTGTCTACAACTTGCAGCTGTTTGTTTTTGAGTTTTTAACACTTTAATCATTTTAACACCTATGTTGAAGTGTTGACTTTTTCTTTCTTTCATTCTCTATATAGTTATGTGTTTTTCTAATTTCCAACATTCCCTGTACTATCCTGAAGAGAAGGGAAAGAAAACGTTTGATAGAAAAAGTGTCTACTGAATTGTGTGGATTTGCGTCGTTGCATGCGAATACGTATTACGAAACTGTTTTTCCCACCGCCTCCAAAATACTGTTTGAATAATAATAATAATAATAATAATAATTTGGAAAGGATTGGGAGAACTTCATATTCAAAGGATCAGTCGGGGAAGTGAACTGCCTGAAAAGAGAAAAAACGCCAGACCCACCAGGACGGTCCTGGTGGGTCTGGCGTTTTTTCTCTTTTCAGGCAGTTCACTTCCCCGACTGATCCTTTGAATATGAAGTTCTCCCAATCCTTTCCAAATTTAATCACTTTCTTTCACCTCTGGTAGTTTCCAGAAACTGACCGTGGTTGGTCCCCTGGGGGAGGGAAAAAGACCCAAGTGCCATCAGTATGTGTGGCACGTGTTGTGAGTTGCCTTTGGAGTGAAAAACTTGTCAGCGCCTTCTAGGTTCAGCCTGGTCCCATAGCTCAGTGGTTGGAGCATTGCTCATGACAAGCAGGGTCCCAGGTTCGTGTCCTGGTGGGTCTGGCGTTTTTTCTCTTTTCAGGCAGTTCACTTCCCCGACTGATCCTTTGAATATGAAGTTCTCCCAATCCTTTCCAAATTTAATCACTTTCTTTCACCTCTGGTAGTTTCCAGAAACTGACCGTGGTTGGTCCCCTGGGGGAGGGAAAAAGACCCAAGTGCCATCAGTATGTGTGGCACGTGTTGTGAGCTGCCTTTGGAGTGAAAAACTTGTCAGCGCCTTCTAGGTTCAGCCTGGTCCCATAGCTCAGTGGTTAGAGCATTGCTCATGACAAGCAGGGTCCCAGGTTCGAGTCCTGGTGGGTCTGGCGTTTTTTTCTCTTTTCAGGCAGTTCACTTCCCCGACTGATCCTTTGAATAATAATAATAATAATAATAATAATAAGTCACCCATTTTGATAATCCAGGGGATGGCCCACGCCTGGTAAAAAGAATAAATAGAAAAGAATCATGACAAGTACATGACTAGACCTCTAGACAAAATGTACATGTCTAGACTTTAGTTCAACAGTCCTGCAAGGAAACACGTGCCTCGGCTACCACTACAGACGCGGGGTCCCTGGTGACACGGTGTGCGGATGATGATCTTGCCCCACGAAGGCACATCACGCTAGCTCGGACTAATGCAAAGCTTAGCTTGCAGCGAAGCCATGCCATCGTCATGGAGTACGGCTCCTTCAGCTTGTCAGATAGCATGCTGGCAAGACGCTTGAACAGGGCCGATGCACACTTGCTAGTGCCACCAGTGGCTGACAGCACTACTGGCACGAACGTGGCGCGGTCAACCTCAAGCAGACGCTGCTCATATCTCCGGCGTTTCTCCTTTTCATGACGTGCATACACTGAGGAAACTGAGGCAGCGCGATTGCGGGTTTGGGTAGAAACTACTTATTTCGGTAGAGGTGTTCGTTCAGAAAAAAACATTCTACTCAAAAGGGTAGATTCTACTTTCCTCTACCGGCTCTACCAGGAAAAGTTGGTAGAGCTACGGAATTTCCAGCAAGATCAAGGATTTGTACACAACTCCATACAGAGGAGAAACAGTTCACGTACATGTACATGTACATATATCTTAATCCAGTAGAATAGCGTTCGTGCACTTGCCTCTACAATCT